AAAAACAAACTCACTGCTGTTGAGTTGATTCCAACTCATAGCTACTCTATGGGACAGGGTGGAACTGCCCCTGTGAGTTTCTAAGACTAACCCTTTCTGGGAGCTGAAATGCTCATCTTTCCTCTCACAGAGTGGCTGGTGGTTTTGAACTGCTGGCCTTTCGATTAGCAGCCCACTGGGTAACCCACAATGCCACCAGGGCTTCTAGCATTTAATAAACGGCCTTTATCCTTTCACACCTCTCAGTGCCCTCATTCCCTTGTCTATGTAGTGTTGACGGCTGTCATATTGTGTATTGCCTTCCCTTCACCAAAGTTAACATGTGTCTACTGTCTAGAAGTGATTGTCCCTCCTTTCCCCTCAGTCCTGAAAGCCATAAACAATATTGGTTTTTTTTTTAAATGGCATGATGCAATATTTGCTCTTTTGTGATTGGCTTATTTCAGGTGCCCTATTGAGGTAGTGGGTTCACATTGGGCGGCTAACCACAAGGTTGGCAGTTCAAACCCACCAGCCACCCTAAGGGGGAGGGAGGAGGCTTTCTGCTTCTGTGTAGACTTAGAGCCTCAGAAGCTCACAGAGGAAGTTCTCCTCTGTCCCTTAGGGTTGCTGTGAATTGGCGTTGACTCGATGGCAGTGAACTTGGTTTGGTTTGGATTGACTTATGTCACTCAGCAGGAGTTTCCCCAATTCATCCATGGTATGTCCCACAGACACATCGTTATTCTTTATCATCACGACGTACTACTCCACGGTATGTCTGTACTGCATTTTATTTATTCACTTATCCACTGAGGGGCACGTGGGTTGTTTTCATCTTTTTGTTTTTGTGAATAAGGCTGGAATGAACATCAATTCACGGCATTGCTCTTATTTCTTTTTTTTTCTTTCTCTTATTTCTTTAGAGTAGACATGTAGGAGTGGGATGGCTATTTCTAGGTTTTTGAGACGTGCAGCATTAAAAAAAAATCTTTTTATTGCCAATGGGGTGATGTTTATCGAGCAGACCATCAGTTTTACGTTAAACAGTTCATATGCATTTTGTTTCTATTCATACATTGTGATCCCCTCATTGTACTAACATTTATTCCACTTCCTCCCTGTTTCCTGTTTCCACCTTTCCTTCTTGGCTAGCCCTCTGTACTTTATCCTAGAGTAAATACTGCAGTTTTGATCTTAAATGGCTGGTTATTTTAACACGGGGGTGAGTTCAGGTCCAGATCTAAAGGGTGGTTGAGGGCCATAGTGTTGGGGGTTCCACCAGTCTCTATTTAACTAAGAAGCTGACCTCTGTTATGATTTGGGGTTTGTTCCACATTCTCTCCCTACTCTATTCAGGACTTACTAATGTGATTCTTCCGAGAGCAGTTGGTAGTAGTAGCAGCAGCTAGGTACTATTTAGTTCTTCTGGTCTCAGGGTTGTGGGTACTGATGTCTGCCTGGTTCATGAGTCCATTGGAGGAATTATTTCCACGTCTCTTCTGATTTTGTCACTCGACTTTCTTCTGGGTGGGGAGAGATAATAGTTGCACCTTCTGTGGTTGCTTATGAGCTTTTAAGACCCCAGTCATTATTCATCATTTAGGATGTAGAATGAGGAGCTATGGTGGCATAGTGGTTATGCACTGGGTTATGATCCCCAAGATCGGCAGTTTGAAACCACCGGCCATTCTGTGGGAGAAAGATGGGTTCTTTTTGAACTCTTGTAAACAGTTACATTCAGGGAAACTCATGGGATAGTTCTACCTTGTCCTATAGGGTTGCTATGAGTTGGCATTGACCAGATGACAGTGTTTGGTTTTGGTTTGGGATGTAGACTATTGTCTTTGCGAACGACGTGACAACAACCGACCTTCATGTCCCAAGACTATGGTCCTGATCCTCAAGGTACTTGATTATGTCTAAGAACTTTTCGTAACTTTTCCCTCTGAACAGCGTTGATTTTCAATCTAGCAAATCTCTAAGCCCTTGACTTAAAAAATACAGGAAGTTCTCTGGCAGGTTATTTTAGTGGCATGTTTCCTCCCTTCTCTGGGAGCCTTTTGGCTTCTTCACGTCCCTCTCCTCCTACAATATAGCTCTCCACTTTAGCAATCTGGTCTCATTCTCCTACATGTCTAAATTTACTAGTCTGGCCTAGTGCTCTAGTGTATTCTCTGCCCTCCCTTCCCCCACTATTAATAGCCAGGCTAATTCTGTGTGGTCTCTCTCTCTTTTTTCCTGTTTTATCCTCCTGTGGCGGGTGAGGTGACTTCTCAAATATTTGGGCAGACAAGGTCAGAAGCAGATTCTTGGCATCTGATCTCAGCCTCAGATTTAGCAGGAGCCTGTGGGGTGGAGATGGAGGCAAGCAGAAGCTGCAGGTGCAGAGAGGAGGGCAGCTAGGATCCTAAATGGCATGATAACCTGTGTTGGAGGTCTGAGCTGGGAGTCAGGGGGCCCAGGTTCCACCTTGGTTTATTACTTGCATTGTTGTAGCAGCTCATAGAAAAGGAAGGGCGTGACCATGTCTAGGGAATAAAAAATCAGAGCCCACGTGTTTCTGTGGCAACACCCATCAGGAAGTGCTCTGGTCTGCTGGAGGGGATGTCCACCGATGCAGTATTATTACAAGGAGACCCAAACTTGCAATTGGGTATTAACTTATCCAAGGCAAGGATTGCCTTCCAGCCAGCAGAGTGAGTGAGCGTCCACCTGCTGTTGTTTTTTAAAATGTCATCCTGGAACAAAACAAAACAAAACAAAAAAAAAACTCAGGGGGACCAGGGAACCTGGAAGGAGGGATTAAAGCAGGACAGCCATCGGAGCCTTTAAGAAAGGGCGAGAAAAGAGAGTCATAAATAGGCCCGCGTTTGAGGGGCACAGGCAACATCAGAGACATTGAGCAAGAGCGTGACAACGATTCCAAGTGTGACAGAGACAAGGACTGGGACAGAAATAGAGTCTGGGGTAAGACCGAAGTTAGAGAATTGGAAAGACATGAGACAGACACTTGGCAAGAAAAACAAACAAACAGACAAACAAAAATAAGAACAGACCAGGGATGGAAGGTGGGAGCAAAAGAAATTCCAGTTAATGCCAAATTATTTCCTATCTCTTCAGCCGGCCCCACTTCTGGATTGGAGTTATAAATAGCAGGGAGTTAGAAAATGTCCTCCCCACCCTGGCTTCTGTCCTAGCGGGGGTGGGGGGTGAGGTAAGGGAGAGGAGGAGGGGTAGGCGGGGTGGGGTGGGGGGTAGGGTGGAGTCCCAGCGGAGAAGTCCCATCCAAACGGAGCCTGAGCCAGCGACGGCCTTGGGGTCCCTCAAGTCCCCTCTCCCTTAGGCAGATGGGAACTGTCGAGTCCTGGGCAAGGTCTTTGCTGTCTCCGGGTGGTGCAAACAGCTGAGTGGTAGACGCCTAGCTGTCGAGTTGGCAGGCCATACCCACGCAGAGGTGCCCGAGAAGACCCAGTTGGTGATCTACTTCTCCCCAGTCAGTCTGTGAAAAGCATATAGAACAGCTCCTTGGCACATTTGGGGTCACCACGACCCCACCACCGACAACAGTGGGGAAAAGTCTGGAAGTTGGCAGCCCCCTTTACACCCCTTCAACACACCACGTTTAACGTCCTCTTCCCGTGTCGCCTTCAACGCCTCCTACTCTCGCCCTCCATCCCTTGTTGGTCCCACTCTGGCCCTTCTCCGCCATCTTTCCCATTCTGCGCTGTCCTTTCCAGCCCGCCTCCTCCAGCCAGCCGCTCTGCTCAGCGCGCTCTCCTCTGTCTTTCCGTTGCCCCAAGGCTGATGATGTGGTTGGTTGTGTTACCCGTGTAACTAGCGGGGTTCTGGAGGGTGGGATTTGAGTAGTTTAAGGGGCGCTCTATGGGTCTCTGTGGGGGCCCTGGGGATACAGCAGGCTAAACGCTGGGCTGCTACCAGCGAGGTCCACTGTTCAAGCCCATCAGGGGGAGAAAGTGGGCCAAAGACAGGCTGTGTGCTCTTTAGTTTCAGAAATGCTTTCAGGCAGTTTATTCTGTCTTTACAGGGTCGCTATGAGCCTGAGGGAGGAACCCTGGTGGCGTCGTGTTTGGGCATAGAGCTGAGATCCGAAAGATCAGCAGTTCAAAACCACCAGCCGCTCTGCGGGAGGAAGACGGAGCTTTCTGCTTCTGCAGAGGTACAGTCTCGGAAACTCGCAAGGGCAGTTCTACGCTGTCCTAGAGGGTCGTTATGAGGCGGCACAGGCTGGATGGCATGGGTATGTGGCCGTGGGGGTGGGGGGCGGGGGCCATGGAGGCCCAGGCCCAGACCCTTACTCGTCCTCCCCTCTCTTTTCTGGCTGTACTTTTAACTCATCACTCACCCTGGTTTTGGGTCTCTTTCTTTCGGTCCCATTCCCTGCCCCCAGCTCTGGTGGCGCTATGAGTTACGCACGGGGGTTGATGACCGTACAAGGCGAGCAGCTGAAAACCACCGGCAGTTGCGCGGGAGAACGGCAAGGATTTACATACAGCCTCGGGAAACCCACACGGGC